GGGGTAGTGATGGGGACATGGTGGGCATGGGGGCAAGAGTCCAGAATCAGAGGACAAGCGGGGCCCGGAAGTCGACTGCATAGAGCTGTGGGGCCTAGGGAAGTGGGGACCCGGGCTACAGAGCTGGGACGCATGGAGGATGAAGTAGGATGGGGTACAGGCGTGGGGAAAGCGGAGATCTAGGTTGAGGTTCTCAGGGCTTGGGGAGAAGTCGAGGATACGGAGCCGCGGTGGCGGGGTCTGGGTGGGGGAGGTCTGGACCCACCTGTGAGTGGCGCGGGCTTGCACAGGGTGTTGTAGTGCGTGGGAGGGAAGGGCCCCGCCAGGCGGGCACTGAAGGCTGCCGACGAGGCCACAGCAAGCTCCTCGCGCAGCAGACGCCCCTTCGGATGGTCCGCGGGCAACTCCCCGAGGCGCCGCTCGAGAGCCTCCCGCAGCAGCCCCAGCTTCTGGTTGGACTCGGTCAGCTTCTCCTGGGCCTGTAATGGGAGGGACAGAGTGGGGCTACGGGTGGGGCCTGGCATGCGCCTCCCCAAGCCTGGCTAAGTCTTACCTGGCCCTAGCCTTCAAACCACCTGGGTCCTACCCCTGGGCTCCGGGAAAACGAGGCCCCACCCCCGGCTGAGGCCCCACCCCTGGCCAAGGTCCCGCCCCTTGCTGAAGCCTCACAGCAGGAGGCCCTACGGGTCAATTCCCGCCCCTTCGCTGGGGCCCCGCCCCCGCCAAAGTCCCGCCCCTTACCTCGCAGACCGCCTTGCGGTCCGGGGCCTTGGCGGCGCTGAGCAGGCGCAGCACGTTCTTGGCACCCTCGGCCACCGCGTGCTCCACTCGGAAGTGGTGCCTCAGCTCCTCAATGCGCAGCTCCACGGACCCCAGGTCTGCACTCCCTGTGGGCGTGGGACGCCGGATGGTGAGGCCAGCCTAGGATCCAGGTCCGACTACCCCAGCCCTGGATGCGCAGGTGTCCGCAGGAACGGGCACTGGCCACAGACACACCACCACCAAGATGCGTCAGGTTTTTCCCAAGCAAGGGGTGACCGTGCCACAGTCGCACTGTCACCTGCAGGCAGTCAGACTTCCACCCAAATGCAATCACTCTTTCATCCAAACATGGTCACCCACAGGCACCATCCCAGGGACAGAGTTAGGCTGTCATACAGGAACAGTCATGTACACAGGGACACGATCAACAAAGGCTTAAAGGACAGACGTGTTGGCAGGGTCCCCTTGCATCCCAGGGACGGTCACAGGGACACTGTGGCCATTTAGATAGCCAGAAGGAAAAAAAAAAAAAAAAAAAAAAAAAAAAGATAGCCAGAAGGAGATAATCACACAGGCCCAGGGACACTTAAAAAAAAAAAAAAGTAACTTTTACTAACTGCCTTCCAAGGGCGCCAGTTTGCCCACACCTATCAAAATTGCAAATGTAATGGCCCTTTGATCCAGCAAACCCAGTTCAGGAACTTTATCCCATAGAAACACCTCTGCACTTGACATACGTACATCGTTACTCACTGAAGCCTTCTTTCTAAGAGCAAAAGATCGGAAATAACCCCGTTTCTTCCAGTAGGAGTCTGGGTAAACGAATGTGACCATCCACATGGTGAAATACAATGCAGTTGGGAGAGCAAGGGCACTGTCACACAGACATCGCCACACTGTCACTCACAGGGGAACAGTGGCATTATTGCTTTGTCACCAGCGTAGGCACACGGTCACCCACAGGCAGAGAACACACTCTCACAAAGATTCAGCCACACCACCACACAGGGATATTGTCACAGGGCAGAGAGACATGATCACAAGACACAAACATCCTCACGGGACACATTTACACTGTGGCAAAACCCCTGGGGCCCCCTAACTCCAGCCCAGGGAGAACCATAATCACACTGCCACATGGGTAAGGCACAGGGACGGCAAAGAAATGCCATCACACTGTCACACAGGCAGGACAGCATCACCAATACCCACAGGCACAAATGTTGCAGGGAAACAGACTGGGTATCACACCCAGTATGAAGTCATAGGGACACAGCCATGGCCCAATAAAGGACGGTCACAGTTACCCAATGGCACAGGGACAGGCACAATAAGGACACACTGTCACCAGAGGCACAAGACCACACTCTCCATGGGTGTAGGTTCCAAGGACAGTCCCACTATCTTGTATATTGACCCAGACTCAGACCCTGGCACTCAGAGAGAGTCATGCCATCACTCACAGGCACTCAGACACCAACCACACAGACATAGCAGTCACAGGCACACTGTCTGACAAACACAGCCGCACTCTTGCCCCCAGGCCTGCTGTCACACATGTCCAGATAGTCGCCAGGGCTTTTACACTTACAGGGACAAGATCGTACCATTACCCGAGGCTACAATACTACCCAGAGGCACAGGGACATGACCATACCATCATTCACTGTCACCGAGAGCCCATGTAGGTATTCCCAGTACAGATGAGCAATCACACTAACACCTCCCCTACCTCAAAGACATACACACGACACCCACACTCTGTCATCTGAGTTATCTATTCCCATTGCTATGGACTGGATGTTTCTGTTCCTCTGAAATTCATATATTGAAACCCTACCCCGGGTGCCTGGGCGGCTCAGTTGATTGAGCAACCAACTCTTGGTTTTGACTCAGGTCGTCATCTTACAGTTTCATGTAAGGTTTCATGTGAGGGTTCAAGCCTCACATCAGGCTCTGTGCTGGCGGTGCGGAGCCTGCTTGGGATTCTCTTTCTCCCTCTCTCTCTGTTCCTTCCCCACTCAAACTGCCTCTTTTATAAAAATGAAAGGAAGGAAGGAAGGAAGAAAAAGGGAAAGGGAGAGAGAGGAGAAAGAAAGAAAGAAAGAAAGAAAGAAAGAAAGAAAGAAAGAAAGAAAGAAAGAAAGAAAAGAAAGAATAGAAAACGAAAGAAAGAAAAGAAAGAAAGAAAGAAAGAAAGAAAGAAAGAAAGAAAGAAAGAAAGAAACAAGGAAGGAAGGAAGAAGGAAGGAAGGAAGGAAGGAAAGAAAGAAAAGAAAGAAAAGAAAGAAAGAAAGAAAGAAAGAAAGAAAGAAAGAAGGAAGAAGGAAAGAAAGAAAGAAAGAAAGAAAAGAAAAGAAAAGAAAAGAAAAGAAAAGAAAAGAAAAGAAAAGAAAAGAAAAGAAACCTAACCCGTAATGTGATGGTATTATGTGTTAGGAGGTGGGGCCTTTGGCAAGTGATTAGGTCATGAGGACGGAGCCCTCGTGAATGGGAGCAGTGGCCTCTTAAGAGAGGCCCTCAGAGAGCTCCTCCACCCCTCCACCACAGGAGGACACACACAGCAGGAAGGGAGCTGTCTGTGAACCCAGAAGAGGGCTCTCACGAGACACCTTGATCCTGGACTTCTGGGCCTCCAGGACTGTGAGCAACAGATCTCTGTTGTTTGTGAGGCACCTAGTCTACAGCATTCTGTTCCAGCGGCCCGAACACACTAATCCCCACTAACAGCTAACACTGTTACACGGGGGACACACAAACTGTCATGGCTACCAGGACACACACACGGCCCCCGGTCCCCACAATGTCACATTAATACTGACACACATCAGTGGCGCAGACCCAGCTACCACCCTGCACACATCAAGACCCTGCCACAAATTCAGGTTGGCAGTCAGCTCAAGTCACCCCCGGGCATCCACACACAGACCCATTCGCGGACACAGACACACGCTGTGGACACCCCCAGTGCTACACAGTGGGGGCCAACGTGACGAGGCAGCCACCTAGTCCGGGGGTCCACCATTTCTTTTCACGAAGGACCAGAGAGTCCGTCTTTTCAGCTCTGCGGAGCACACAGCCTCTGTTGCCACCGCTCAGCTCTGCTCCTGCGGAGCGAAAGCAGCCTCACGAGATAGTAAATGAATGCACATGGCTGTGTGTCAGTAAAACTTTATTTACAAAAATAAGACGGCAGTGGCAGATTTAGTCCTCGGGCTGTAGTCTGCTAATACCTGGTCTAGGGCAGACCCTACATAGGACACAATGGGAAACCGGCCCAGAGACGGTCAGGAATGGGTTCCGGTCATACCGTGAGTGACCACAGCCACCTCCCTGCCTCAGAAAGGGTCCCCTGACGGGGCCGGGAGCTGAGCTCTTGCAAGGTGGGACGCGGGCTAGTGTGCCTCGGGGCGAGGGGCTCACCTTGGGCATCGTCGGGGGCTGCCTGGCTCTCCAGCTGGCCCGCCCGTCGAAGCTGCATTCGGATGATGTCGATCTTGGTCTTGCTGTCCTGCAGCATCTGCTGGGCCGTCAGCAGCAGCTTCCGGTCCTGGAGGTGGGGATGGGCTGTAAGGGGAAGGCTGGGCAAGCGGGGGTCTGCCCACAGGCCCTCTGTGCACCCCGTGCGGGCCGTGGTGACTGTGTCACAGAGGCGATGTGTGGACAGCACGCGCATCCACGCATTCCCAGGAGAAGAGGGGAGATGTGGCCCGTGGCGTCTGAATCCTGGCTCTGCCCCCCTAACACACGTAACTGCTGGCAAGCCACTCAGCCTCCCCGGGCCTGTTTCCTCCCCTGCAGGGAGGGGAGTAGCGACCACCACGGGGCTGAGGACTGAAGGAGCCCATCTATGTGTGGGGCTCAGGGCCGCACCTGGCGTCAGGAGGCACCGTATTAGAGTCAGCTGTCACCACGGCAGACACGTGGGTGAGTGTTCCCTGAGGCGGGCGTAGCCCTGACTGCAGCCACATGGGTGAGTCCAAGGGTCACTGGGTGGGTGTGTTTGACAGGCTGCAGTAAGGGGACTCCAGGGACACCAGGACTGGGTGTGACACCTCCAATCTGTGTGACACCTCCAGTCTCTGGGTGTGAATGTAATGGTCTGTGGGTCTGTGTGTCCAAGGCGCCCTGTTGGCCTATGCGTGTGTCCTTGGGGATTATGTGATGGCGTAGGTCTCTACGTCTAGAGGTGGCTGTGGTGGGCATCCTCCACGGGTCTCCAAGTGTCATTACGGCTGCGTCTCTAGATGTTATGGCAGTGCCAACGTGTGCCCAAGTGTTGACATGACTCTGTGTGTCTCCAGGTGTTAGTATTGACCTGACCATGTGTGTACATTTCAGAGATGCCACCAGCAGTGACACCACCAGATGTGGACATCCCTCGAGTCTCTGGCGTGACTGAGTGTGGGGCACAGCCTCTGCCGTGTGTCTGACATCTGAGACGGTCATCCTGTTTCTCAGATGCCCCCTACAAGCTGCTCACACCGCAGTCCAGCCTCCAAGTCCCCCATCAGTCCCTCTGTCCCCAACCCAGAGGGCCCCAGCCTCCCATGGGGCAGATAGACGTAGGTGGCACGGCGGTTCCCACCCCCAAGCCTGGGATCTGCTCACCGGTGTGCACGCACGTGGGGGTTGTGTACACGCACATGGGGTGTGCGCATGCATGCTGCCCCTACCTTGGTGCTGCCGTTGCTGTATGTCTGGATCATGTTTTCTGCCCCCTGCTTCACCTTCAGCTCGATGGCCAGCTGCTTCTCCAGGCCGGCCACGCGGCTCAGGTTGGTGGCCGAGGAGGCCTGGCTACCTGCACCAGGAGACTGAGGGGCATCTAAGAGGTGGGCGGGGGGGGGAGGACAAAGTCACAACGGCCCTCACCTCCATCTGCCTAAGAGGCTTTGCCCAGCTGAGAGGATCCACCCTTTGCCCAGCCTGGGTTCTGCCCCCAAGGCCAGGGGAAAGAGGAAAAGGGGGCCAGGGCCTAGAAGGCCCCTCCACTCCAGCCCGCCCAGGGAAACCCCCTCAGCACCGGGACGAGACCGGTGTGAACGAGCGTGGGCAAATGTCCACGTGTACATAAGTCCTTGGTGTTGGTGTAACTATATACAGAAGCCCCCCACTCCTCACGCAGCTATGTGAGAGCCTGTGGGCTCAGGTGTGGTTATGTCTGTGCCCACAGGGTGTTGGCATGACTGAGTATGCGTCTCCTCACGTGCTCCCATACCTAGGCAAAACGCCAGGCGTGAGGTCTGGGTGCAGGGGTGACCCAATGCACACGTTTCTAACTGTTGGCCCAACGGTACGTTCAGATCTCCAGCCGGTGTGCCTGCACTGGCTGTCTCTGCCTGTGGGTACAGTCAGACCCGTGTGTCCCTAGATGCCGGCATGGCTCTGTGTGAGTCCCGGAGGGTGGTGTTACTTGGGAGTGGGGGTGGGGGAATTTCGGTGCAGATGCGACCGTAGGAGACGCCGGGTGTTAGATGAGCTATCTCCGAGCACTGCCATGACAACGTCGGTCCCCAGCTGCTGACAGGCCGAGGCGGGGTACAGGTGTGGGGGGAGTCTGCGGGCCTAGTCTGACTGTGCGTGTATGTCTCCAGCTGTGGATGGGACAATGTATGTCTGTAAGGGTTGGACAGCTGTGTGTGTCAATCTCTGGGGGTTGGTGTAACCACGTGCAAGAGGCTCTAGATACTGTCTGTGTGTGGCTGTGACTGTGTGTGTGCTTCTTTGGGCGGAGGTATGGAAGTTTCTGGGTGTTCACACGATAGTGCCTGGGTCCTTGAGTGTCATCTGGGTGCTGGTGTTGACTGTGTGTGAGACTCTCTGGCTACTGATGTGATGTGGAAGGAGTCTTTGGCTGCAAGATAAAAAGTTCTGTAATGCCTTGCACGACAATGTGAATCTACTGTATGCTTAAAAATGATAACTTTTAGGGGCATCTGGGTGGCTCAATCGGTGAAGCGTCTGACTCCAGATTTCAGCTCAGGTCATGCTCTCACGGCTCATGGGTCCGAGCCCCGTGTTGGGATCTGCACTGTCTGTGCTGAGCCTGCTTGGGATCCTCTCCCTGCCTCTCTCTCAGCCCCTCCCCCACTCGCATGCTCTGTTCCTCTCTCAAAACAAATAAATAACGCTTTTTTAAAAAATGATAAATTTTATGTTGTGTGTTTTTTGACCACAAATAAAAAATTTTTATTTTGTTATTTTTTTTATGTTTATTTTTGAGAGAGAGAGAGTGCGAGCAGGGGAGGGACAGAAAGACAGAGGGAGACACAGGATCCAAGCGGCTCCAGGCTCCCAGCTGTCCGCACAGAGCCCCATGCGACCGCGGGGCTCCGACTCACGAACTGTGAGATCGTGACCTGAGCCCAAGTCAGAAGCCTAACTGACTGAGCCACCCAGGAGCCCCGAGAGTTTTTTAAAGAAACAAAAACTAAAGAAAATTTTTAAAGCATCTCTGGGTGTTGTCCGGATGTTGGTACAACTGTGTGAGTCTTCAGATATTCACGTGACCCCGTGTAGGTCGGGTGGCGGTGCGCCTGGGCAGGACCCTGCCCTGGGGGCCGGTTTGGGTGTTCGTTGGGATCCGAGGCCAAGGCCGGAGGCTGTCACGCGCCGGTGTGTCTCCCCGGGACTCCCGTGCACACCGGGCCAGCCTGGCTCTGGGAGACCCGGGGCGGGCCCCTGGCAGCGGAGCCCCCCCCCCACCTCCCCGCAAGCCCGCCCCCTCCGGAGAAGCCCCCAGCTCACCTCGGGCGGCGGCCGCAGGGTCGGGCAGCACCACGTGGGCGTGCAGCTCCTGCAGCTGCTGGTGCAGCAGGT